CTCAACTATAGAGAAAGGTTGCAAATCCACCGTAAAGAGCTGCAATAACTTGCTTGTTATTTCACTTTTTGATTTTAGCCGCGCAACATTTAAAATCTTAGTTTGTGTTAAAGGCTTTGGTAATGCAGTCGAAGTTGATGGAATATCCTCTTCTCCGCTAGCGTAATTTCCGACTACAAAAACATTTTCACAGTACCAATTTGCTAATAACTTCAAAATTATATTACCATTTCCAATCGAATAGTAGGATGCCTCCGTTCCATATGTTTTTTTAWATTTGATGTTGACGTTTTATATGATATTTTGGATTTACAAATATCACATTTTCTTTAAAAAATTGCCACACAAAACTTGTTTTCGTCCTTTTTAACACAGACATCTTTAATTTGTATTAAGTATAAGCAAACTGATTTGTAACCGTTTCGTATAAAAATGAATTTAAATGATCCSTTATTTTTTAAGAAGCACATTTTTAAAGTCACAATAAATATATTCTCTAAAGGATTTTTTTTTCAATATAAGGATACTCAATAGAAACTATTTAAAGTAAACGAAAACATACTAATACATACATACATTTTTTTAATTACTATATAAATGTATGCAATTTTAAGATTAAAAGTTTTATAATTGGCTTTACTACCGCATTGAGGTTTCTGTAATCAATTTAATTTGTACATAAGTATTACCCGTTTAAAGTTAAATTAACTTTTTCTATGTTAACCAATTTTTACTTATCTAAAATTGAAAAGAATTCATAGCTTTAATGAATATGAATTCATCACACTCAATTTTTTATGTTACGCTGTGAATGCTATTTTGCAACAGTCGCAATTTTTCATGTTTCACTGTGAATGCTATTTTGTCACAATCGCAATTTTTTATGTTCCACGGCGAATGCTATTTTGTCACAGTCGCAATTTTTCAGGCGATACTGTGACTGCTACTTTGTTGAAGTTTCCCATGTGTTCGTTAATTCTAGTCACTGCTACTTTAGAAAACTTGTCACAGCTGTGACCAGTGATTTTTAAGTAGCAGTGACAAAGTCACAGGTACTCAAATACTTGCCATCTCTACTGAATACAGAGTTTTTCAGTCAACAGAGGCTTCTTCATTGTGTTGCGCCATTTCAGATCATGAGTATGAAGAAGGATTCGGATAGTTTCGTATGATATCTCTAAACCTTTTGCCATTAATTTTGCTTGTCCTAAAACAAATTCACTATTATTTTTTCATCTTCTTTGTTCCCTTTTCCTATCAAACTACGTTCTGGTAAATCATCGACATTTTTAGCCAATTTATATCGCTGTATTCACTTCTGTACAAATGCCTTCGACTTTCTCATATATTTAGCAGCAGCTGATTGCGACATTTTGGGACCTTTCGGATGCATGCAAAGGAATACAGCTTTGTAGTACGACGCGTACTTAGAACTCACGGCGTTTAACGTAATTCTCTTTGAAAAGATCAACGACAACTGAACCTTTGTTGACAATGCATCAAGGACAAAGCTTCCCTCTATCGGCTCGCGAAGGAATTAGGGCGAAATCTTTCATTGACTGTCGGTAAAGTCACCACGCCCTTACTTGACAGACTGTATATTAATGTAATCAGTTGAAATTATTATATTGGAACGGATTTCACGATAAATCGTTTACTTTGAAACTCACTCTTGAATTCGATCACAGGATCGTTAAATAAAAGTCCAAATTTAAAGGCTTTACACTTATCTTTATTTACAATTCCAACCACTTAACGTTTTACTACTCATTATTCAAGCTAACAACTTCTTACCCATATTTCACCTCAAAAGCATTTTTTTTTATAACATTTTCCATTATATCCGGATCGAACAAAATAATTATAATAAGATCATTTAATATATGGAGCAACTATTTAAATATTTTTATGGTACGTTAAAACAATTTACTTTTGGCCTTCCAATACCCAATTAGCGGATTTAAGCTTGTCAACTCTCGAATCAATAAATATTGTTATACCCTCTACAGGGTATATTAAGTTTGTCACGAAGTTTGTAACACCCAGAACGAAGCGTCGGAGACCCTATAAAGTGTATATATAAATGTTGAGTATGTTGAGCTGAGTCGATTTAGCCATGTCCGTCTGTCTGTATATGTATGTACGAACTAGTCCCGCAGTTTTTAAGATATCGTTTTGAAATTTTGCAAACGTCATTTTCTTCAAGAAGCTGCTCATTTGTCGAAACTGCCGATATCAGACCACTATAACATATAGTTGCCATACAAACTGAACAATCGCAATCAACTTCTTGTATATAAAACTTTCGAAATTGACAAGATATATTCACGAAATTTGCTGCAGATTATTTTTTAAGGCAACAATGTAATCTTCGAAGAAATTGTTCGGTTAATTATAGCATGTAGCTGCCATACAAACTGGACAATCGGAAGTTCTTGTATGGAAAACTTTCACATTTCACAATGAATTTTCACAAAAGTTAACAAAGGTTCTTTTCTAAGGCAACAAAATAGTATCCGAAGAAATTGTTCAGATCGGTTAACTATAGCATATAGCTGCCATAAAAACTGAATGATCGGAATCAAGTTATTGTATGTAAAACTTTCACATTTAACAATATATATTCACGAAATTTGGTGCAGATTATTTTTTAAGGCAACAATTTAATCACCGAAGAAATTGTTCAGAACGATTAACTATAGCATATCGCTACGATACAAACTGAACGATCGGAATCTAGTGCTGGTATGGAAAACTTTTGCAATTGACGTGATATTTTCACGAAATTTGGTATAGGTATGTAGTTTTATAAGCCAACTATGTAATCTCCGAAGAAATTGTTCAGATCGGTTAAATATAGCATATAGCTGTCATACAAACTGAATGATTCCCCATTTGACAATATATTTTCAAGAAATTAGGTATGAGTTATTGTTCATATAAAAATGTAATATCGGAAGAAATTGTTCAGATCAGCTCACTGTAGCATATAGCTGCCATACAATCCGAACGATCGGAATCAGTGGCTTGTATGGAAAACTTTCGCATTTGACGTGGTATCTTCACGAAATTTCACATGGATTACTGCTTAAGGTAATAATATAATCTCCGAAAAAAATTAACACATAGTTACTAAAAGAAATGCACCTATGAAGGGTATATTAGGTTCGGTGCAGCCGAAGTTAACGTTTTTTCTTGTTTTAAATACGCGTCGTTTTAAGTGCGCCGGCGCCGTCAAACGCTTTAAAACAGCACTGCGCTGCCTGTGCGCGTTCGTATGAAAATGAACACATACAGGTTCGTAGCTCTGCAGCCAACGCAAACCACTTAATGCATATTACTCTTTACTCGAGTTTACTGTAACTAAAACTGTGACTACTGCACAATTTCGCAATCCCTATATTGTTGGTTTCTTATCAAAACATAGCAACTCGCACATCCTAGCAATTTCACATTCGTCATCTGTTTCAGCCTCTTGGTCAGGAATCGGGTCATTAGCTGAAATAGTCCATGACATCCAAAACATGTTAGCTTCCCAATTTATTGTTATATTTCAATTTAACTTATTTCATGAGATTTTCTTTTATAATTTTCCAGTTAACAATTTTTTTTAAAGACCAGCAGTAATTTGCTGCTTTTAAGGCTATTTGTTTTTGACCATAATTTGGAATATTATTCGAAAATTTATCTAGTTAATTGCGGAGAAAATCAAAATTTTTTTTATACATTTCTAGTTTGAGTCTGCTTGTTTAAAGATTATAAGTAATAAATAAATAATATATTTAAAACTAAACAAGCTCAAAGTTTTGGTTGAGTCCTTTTGCTAATAACGGTGAAAGGTGAAAGCTTGAGCTTGTGGTTGAACATATGAATATGCTAGAAGACTGGATCATCTCTTCTTTTCCAGTTAGTTTGATTACAAGATTGTAGTAAAGTATTAACCTTCCCGGAGTTTATGGAGGGCATGAAAATGGATCGCTAAAATGTCGTAAATTTTCACAATAACAAAAAAGTACAAACAAAAAAAGTTTCACCATATATACATATTTTGCAAACAATTAAAATTACTCAAACAAAGCTCTAACTTCGTGTGGAAATGAACATTTTATGCTCTCGCAAGGATCAAAGCATTATATTTAATCAAACATGGTATCTTACTAGGCACACTTACTTTCATTTCTCTGGTAAATAATTTATTTCAAATAATTTAATCATTTATTTATAATTAATGACATACAAAAAAAAAAAACAATGTAACATAAAATTGAAAAATACTTTGAGCTTATGGTGAAAACTCTCGAAACTAAATGAAGCAAGCCACAATATGGAATCAGTCAAAATTTAATTACGGAGTAATAACAATTAAATATTCCTAGGTACTTTTTGAGTATAATTAAATTTTTTATTGAAAATACGGTTATTTTCCACTATTAAGTTGAAATAAGATGAAAGAAAAAAAATATATTTTCAAAAAATTACAATATGTTTGGGACATAAAAATTTGGTGAAAAGTTTTGTAAAAGAATTTTTTTTTTAAAGATAAAATTAATAAACCAAAAACCAAAAAATGTTGCGATTATTTGAAAAAGGTGTTGATACAAAAGTAGCTTTTTTCATTACCTACAACTTTGCCTAATAACTTGTTCAACTCATTGTTTCATCAGAAAGATTTCATTTAGCCGAGATTTCATTTAGCAAAAGAAGAGTTTGAGTTGCCCCGCGAGTATGAGTGCCCCAAGAGCAAGTTCGTTCTGGATGCTGTAGCACGGTAAATTCCTTATGAACCAATCTATGTTATATGATATTCCTTATAGTCCGACACCGTAGAAACTGCATGTTTCCTGGGATTCCGTTAGATTACTTCAATGACAATTAACATAGACCTTGCCAACAAAACAGGGTCTGACTTCGGATGTTTTCAAATTGTCACAATTCAAAATAGCATTTTCAAAAGATTTGAGATCATCGTCAGTTCAATGTATCATATATTCATTCTTATCTTGGTTAAAATCTTTGAATTTGTCATAATAATAGTTTTATATTGGAAACGCTAATATTTTTGGTTGTATTAAAAATGGTAGGAAACGGATATTTTTTTTCAAAAAAAAGTGAATAACCCTTGTTTTGTTTTAGTTAAAACTGTTTGGGAGTTATTGAAGCCATCAACCGACAGTAAAAACATTGTTATTTTTCCACGGATGATTAGCCTTTAGTGATAAATCCAAATTATAAGATGCCGCAAGGTGTCGCGTCGGGTACTGGAGTTGAGTAAACAACTATATATCTGAACTTTTTCGACTCTTTTCTAAGTGAACCTCCTGTTACGTGATGACAATAACACTTACTATTTTAGTATTATACCTACTATTCACTTTAAATTATCGAAATTTATTATTTTAATGTTTATTGTAAAGGATAGTTTTATTTTACTTACTATATAATGCTTATTTACGAATTATTGAATTTCTTTCAGATAAATGCCGACAGTTATGAAGACGATGAATTGTTGACTGCTATTCGTAAAGATCGGAATTACTCATACGAAGATGAGGTAAATAAGAATTGAATTTAGAAATATTTATGTTGTATAAAAATATTATTATAATTATTAACACACTTTATTAAATATTGTATAACGTACCTATACCATGAATCTGGCATTATGTACATATGAATGTATTATTCCAAATTTAATTTTAACTATTCATACATATTTTTAATTATAACAGAACTGTATCATATATGTTATTTTAAAAACATTCTCGTGCGTGACATCGGTTTAATATTTCGAATCTCAGTACAATACAAGTTAAGATAGCTTTATCTAAAAGTCTCATCATCCTGGTCTTTTTGACATATCTGTTGTTGTTTTGGTGACAGATTTGACATTCCTTTGCTGGATAAAACCCGAGTCCTTTCTGGTTGCTTAGACTCCACTGTCGTGGGAACGGACATATCTAACTAATATGTACGAGTATAAGATTAGTTTTAGTTGTTATCTTCAACATGTTGCGAGTGTATAAAAATGCTTGAATAGGGGCACGGTCAAAAGAAATATTACATAGATTCAGGAAACTATTTATTTCTAGCATTTAGATTCACTGTTAAAATATGGGAAATCCGAAAGTAAACACGCCCTTATAACTACATAGTTGTCAATTTTTCAAAGTGCTAATGAAAAACATCATCATCGCCCACTTATTACAATATCCATTCGACTGATAATAATGTTTGGTGCTAAAAAGGAATAAAATGTATCATATTTTTCCGCTAGCTACTGATACCTAATGTAATAATTCTGCTTTGGTGTAGAATTTCTGACTACTTTGAAAGTTGTGCGTGATCTGATTCCATGATAGAATTAAATGTAAACAAGAAAAAAAATATACAGTCGAGTCGCGATAATTCGTACCCCGCTAATTAAAATTCTGAATAATTCGTAAAAATGTCTGTCCCCTTGAAGAAAATTCGATAGTTCGTAAGCATTTCATACATTATGGTTCTCACGTGAATTCGTAATATTTTTCACAACGCAAAAAATATAAAAGTATTCTTATAAATTAAATGAAAAATATGGTTTAAATTTAATTACTGCTGATTTCAACACTATAGATCTTCTACCTTGAAATTCAATCTAGAGTTCGATCACTGGATTGTTTAAATAAAAGTCACAATTTAGTGGCTACACACTTATTTTATTTACAAAATAATTACAACAAATCATCGCTTTATTACTCATTATCCGAGCTGCCGGCTTCTTACTTATGTCTCATTTGCTCTTTACATGACAGTATTTTAACGAGAACTGTGTCTGCTGTACAATCCAGCAGCTTTATATAGCAGATTGTTAACAAAACTTCGGCAATGGCAAATTTCCAAAAACATGTCTATGATCATAACCTCTGATGCACTTTGAGACTCTTTGTTTCCTTCAATCTTCGTTGTCACTTGCTCTAATTCAAATTGAAAGATATTCCTCAAAATTAGTGTTTTTGCTTTCATGGATTATAAATCAGTCTTTAATTCATTTGCCGCCAAACCGCGTTTCTTCAGCTCCTTTTTCAGTTTGTTTCACAACTCAGATTACGAGTATTAAACTTACCCATTTTCAAACAATTCTCTCTTTGGGAATTTAGTTGACAATCCCTCTTCTGACATAATTGTATCAAAGACAATGAAATCTACATTGGCGTCAGAGGAAGAGACGAAACCATCCGCAGAATCTTTTCCTATCAAACTATATTTTGGTCTTAGTTTGTATTATCTTGTTTATTCGACTAATCTGCTTATGCAATAAAACTAGTAAAAGGAAATTTTTGTTAAAATATTTTTTTTGAATTCTATACAGATAACTTGCTCTAAATCGTGTTTACCAGACTTTGAAAATAAGCTGAAGTCGTTCTACACCGAGCATTTACATACGGATGAAGAAATTCGACTGGTTTTGGATGGATCAGGATATTTTGATGTCAGAGAGTAAGTAAACAACATATTTCACATTGCACTTCCACAAGAGATTGCAAGACAAACATTATTATTGTTATTATTATTACTAATAACCTTTAGATTTCTGTGAATTGTTGAGGACATTTGGATTTATTTTCATTAAAAACAGCCACTGCCAGTTATTCGTCATAAAATCTTGCGACCCTTGATTCCACTTACTCTAACTTTCTGTTATTTTAAATCTAATAAGAAACTGAATAGAGTTTTCTCCAAATTTTTTCTTGCTTTAACGAAAGCAAGTAAAATTATAACTTTTTGAGCGCAGAAAAAGAGCCGCCAATGCTTTTATTTGGGCACGGCAGTGAGGCGGAAAGTAAGTCAAATTAATACAAAATAAATAATATTCAAAGCGAATTACTTTATTAATAATACTTACATCAATTTGTGCAACCGTTAAATATCACGCGTCCAGAAATTTTTCTGAAGTTGTACATATAAATAATTAAGGGAAATTGCCTATAATGAACTTACAAGTTTTATATACATATATTATACTCCATGCAGAGAAGTATTTGTTCGAGTTAAAAAAAAAAAAAAAAAAATAGCTATGTTGTACTATATTAGATAAAGTATGTATGTATTTTTATTTTTTAGTGCAAAAGATGATTGGATTCGAATAGCTGTTAGTAAGGGAGACTTAATAATTATACCAGCCGGCATATATCATCGATTTACCTTGGACATAGAGGTAATAACAACTTTTATAAACTGTGATTTAAGTTTTTTCCTTTTTAATCTCTTTAGAACTATCTTAGAAAATAGATCAAGCTTTTTATAAAGTGAATAATTACAGTTGCAAAATTCAGCAAAGTGATTAGGGAAAAGATATTACAATAACATGTATTACCATTTTGTTCTTAGTATATTATTTATTATTTTGAAATATATTAAAAGTGAAACATTTTCAAAAAGATGTAATTTGAACTATGTATTTACATACATATCTGCATTCTATACGGGTATACCTTATAATCAACTGCCACAGTATTTGCTTTCTTGTTTCATGACCTCCATAACTTTTATTCAGTTAAATGGAAGTTAAGCAAGGTTAAGGTTCAAGTTGGTTTTCATCGAAGTCATCTAACGGTAAGCGCAGGAAATGTGCTCTTTCGACGGAGCCGGACCATAGGGAGAGGGGCGTTAGATGAGAAGCGTTCCTAGGGCATGCAAAGAGGTGGTTAGAGTAATGGGGGGGGACTCATTAAACGATGGACATACAATTTGGTATATTATGGATAAGAGGGATATTAATTTACTACAGTATCCAGATGAAGGTTGCGCAATGGTCACTTTAGATTCTCGGCGCAACTTGATCTTTCCATCTGCTATGTATGTGGTTGAAATTGTACGATTGCAGTACATCACTACATCGAGGCAACTATATCAATGCAGCGTAGTTGATGACCGGCCGGCCGATTGCCTTGTATTTGGCCAACAATGTTTCTTTGTCGTTATGCTAGGTGCTGCAGGCCAGTGACTTGAGGATTTTGTGAATGACTTGAGGACTGTGAATTTAGTGGAGAGAGTGTAGCTTATTTGTTGTTTTCAAGTGCCGTTGTGTGATTGCTTTAAATGCTTTTGACAAATTTATTATCCCTCTTACAGGGTAATGATGGAGATTTATGCCACGAACTATTTAGGCGTTTATGACGCTAGGTGCTGTTATGCACTTTCCGGAAGCGATGTAATGGTGTGCTTGACTCAGGTAGTGAGTGAACAAAGGAAGTAACAAGATCTCAATGTCTTCACTGCTCGGGAAATAATAATTACGTTTCAGTAGATGCATCAGTCTTCCAACTTTCTGGGGTATTTGAAGAGTAGTCAGCGACAGATTGAAGACCTTGGTTAGGTAACTTACCACCGTCAAACCTAGATTCTATAACATCAACATGTTAATTCTTTCTGATTCGAAGATTACCATAGGTCGAGAAGTTATGATATTTATCAGACCACCCCTAATGATGATAATATTAAGCGATCTTTTACAGTTGCTCATTATTCTGTAGTACACCTATGTTTCGGCGATATCTTGTTGGGCAACATGGAATCGGGGGGATGTATATATTGAATATATTCGATATAGCTTTTGATGAGACGATATTGCACTGTGCTCTATTACAGCTACGCCTCCGCCATTATCCCGCTCGCGATCCTTACGTATAACGTTGAAACCTGCCAAAAATCGAATGAAATCGCGGGGACGGTTGTTGCACTGTGGTATTGCTTGGCGACGCTTCTTACGGGGACAAACCCCTGAAGCACTATACAACTAAGACAACCTAACTCAAAGTCTTAATGTCTGAGTAGATCTTAGTATGGCTCCATATATTGCATGTATTGCCGCTAACAGAAGTGGAGTTAGGATGGAGTCTTTTAGCGCAAATGCAACAAAAAATTTCTTGGAGACAGAGTTGGATTCAATGCCAGCACGGATCGGGAGGATGCAGGTATTGCAAAATCAACGGTTATGTTTTAAGCCGAACAAAGTAAGGCCACCTTTCAGAAAAGAGTTATAAGCAAAATATAATATTAAAATGTGGGTATTTGTGTTGTGCATTTTGAGGTATCATCTTTCTTTTTTATTTGCATTTATTATTGGTTATAATGCAATATTTTATGAATATTTCGAATTTAATTACGATTTACAACTGTGTTTACAATAATTTAAAGATTAGAATCAAATATCGTAAAAACTATAAGTTCCTTTGAGTTTAGGTATATATGTATATATTCTTAATATGGAGAGCCTCCTCTATCAGGCTATATCCATTTTAGGGATGCTTTCTAAAATTTACCCAAAAAAGCAATAACATCAAACTAAGATTTGAACATACATATGTCACTTATAATCTTTTGCAGAACTATATCAAGGCAAAACGATATTTTGTTGGTGAACCAATTTGGCTACCTTACAATCGACCATCTGATAATATGGAGTGTCGTCAAAAATATTTAAGTCATCAAGCAAACGGATTTTTACCTATTACTAATTATAAATAAATTTTTACATCACTATGTATGTTTATATTAAATCAAAGAAATCATCTTTTCGGATAGGCCTTCGGGCAGTTAGCTTATTACAAGCAAGATTGGTGACCTTTGACGAAACCTAAGGCAAGTATTTAATTTTTTTCAGTCGCGAACTATTGTCCACCAATGAATCTGAAAAAAAAAAAACATTTTTTAAATCCATTTATTTGTCCATAAAACATTAGCTTACTTGCTGTTAAGAAATAAATAAATAAAAACTAATGTCCACTTCATAATTGTTCACCTTTTTGTGAGCAATAACTAACTTAAATTGTTTTGATTTTTCGTGTAAAAATTTATAGCTGCTTTCGAGCCCAGCATCATGATTCTTTCCACAGTAAGTAATGTCTTCTGTGATCATATTTTTGTATAGACGTTATTTTGGTATGTATGGAACATTTTTATACTACTTTTATTTCAGTAATCCTAAATCTCCATATAACCAAATTGGTTGGAGCATCTGTTTATATAAAACAATTTAGCTTGGAAGCGATAGCAAGCGACGTTTCCTTATCAACTATTTCAAAGATTTAATTAAAAATTTAGATCTTTTCTCATTTTTGACCTTGCTGGAGTATGGTATCTGCACTCATTCATGTGGAGAGGTTGTCTTATTAGTGAAGTTAATGTGGACTGATTTCATGATATTAATATCGGTATTCTGCTTGAAACGATTGTCTCATGCCTCTAATTATCACAATCGTAATTTAGTGATTCTGTTAGTCCGGAGTCTCATTTTGGTATTCTGGCAGATACAGTATAGTAGTGTACTGTCTCAAGCAGAATACCGATATTAGTTTCATACGCCACTGTATGTTTCACATAGGTACTTCATTAATTGTTTCTTGTAATTTTTTCGTCGATTCTCTCTCTTTATCTCTTATGGATAGATAGGATGCATCATCACAAATGTTGCTACTGTAGCTGTATCAGCGTTTTAGAAGTCACTTGTGTGGATGATATACAGCAATGGCCTAAGAAAACTACCATGTCCCTCAAGGTCTACCTTTATATAACGCAGTTCTAAAACTTAATTACCTTGTTTTTTTTTGCGAAAATATCGATATTCCATATACATTTGTTTTAATTATTAAATATATAATATAAGAAAAGAGCTTTAGCACTTAATATTTATAACAAACCAGCATACCTTACTTTATTGAACGCTTGATAACCGTCTTGGAAGGCTGTAGAGCAAACAAGTCCCATATTTGTAATATGATCTCTGTGAGGCGTTCGATACTAAATAAGGTTTCCAACAAGGACCCTATGGTATGACTTGACAGTCATAGGTGCTACTTTGGAATGAGTAAGTAATTGAATAGTAAAGTCCTCTCTCTATGAACAAAGGCCAAAGAGAGCTCGTGGGAAAAGCTTTGTTGATAATTTATGGTTCTTTGCGCAGTGGCAAAGGCGAGTACCGCAGTCAATGGAATGATGAACAGTACAAGATATCCGGCGAAATTGGCATCTCGGTGTCTACGCCAGTAGATGAAGATGTATCTAATCAATGTTGGAAATTTTTTTCTTTATAGCCATATTGGTAGCAGTGTAAAGACCACATTAAAAAAATGGGTTAGGCAGACTTCGAAAACGTCAATTTCAATGGATATGAAAGAAATAGTAATGCATCTTAAATATCTCTGACATTGCATCATCTTTCGATATATATTAAACCGGCAGTGCGCAGTGACAGAGAAAATGGCTCATCATAAATAAAGTTGATGCCTTTTGACATTTACAGATATTTTCTTAAGTTATACTAATTTTAAGATTATTCTCTTCTTTACTGGCGTAGAAACAGCGTAGAAACAGAAATAGCGCATAAGTCGCTTCTTCTTTTCGCCAGGCGACGCCAATTGGAGATTACAAGCGAAACCAAGTCCTTCTCCATCTGGTCCCATTTCGTCCATTCGGATGAGCTATGTCAATGTCGTCGTATATCTCATACAGCTCTTCCTTCCATCGAATGCGATATTCGTCGTGGCTAATGCGCAAAGGATCATAAATCTTTCGCAGAACTTTTCACTCGAAAACTCGCAACGTCGACTCATCACGGGACGGAATAATGAGTGACTTATAGAGTTTTGTTTTTGTTCGTCGAGACGGGACTTTACTTCCCAATTGCACTTGTTGGCAAGAGATATCATGCGTAGGATTTCGAGGCTGACGTTGTTGTTTGTGTTGATGCTGGTTCCAAGATTGACGAAATTATCTACAACTTCAAAGCTGTGATTGTCCACAGTGAGGTGAGATATGGGATATTTCGTCTTGTCCTCGTTCACTGCCAGACCATTTGCTCTACTTCCTTGTCCAGACTGGAGAAAGCAGAACTAACAGCGCGGGTGTTGGGGCCAATGATATCAATATCACCGGCATACCCCAGGAGCTGTACACTCTAATATTATAAACGATTGTATCCGCTCGATTAATTCTGCAGCTCGGATTATTTTCTCCAGAAGTAGGTTGATGAAATCACACGAAAGAGAGTCTGAAACCTCGTTTGGTATCGAACGGCTCGGAGAGGTGCTTAACGATCGTGACGGAGCTTTTAGAGAACTACCAGAAACTACATTTTCACAGAGATTCCTACCGACATTTTCACAGAGATTGGATTGTGCCTCTTTACATATGTATGTATTTTTATACTCTTGCAACCAGTTGCTACTGAGTATTATAGTTTTGTTTACCTAACGGTTGTACGTATCACCTAAAACTAATCGAGATAGATATAGGATTATATATACATATAAGGTGACAAGAAAAGGTGAAATCCGGTTGACTGTCTGTCTACCCGTCCGTTCTTGCAAGCTGTAACTTGAGTAAAAATTTAAGATATCTTGATGAAATTTGGTATGTGGGTTCTTTAGTAGGAAAAAAAAATCGAGTTCGTAGATGGGCATAATCGCCCAAAAATCGCCATTAACTGAAACATCCAAAGTGCCGTAACTTTAAATTAAATTAAGATATGAGGCTTTAATTTGGTACAGAGGATTGCTTTAGCGAGGGGCACCTTTAGGAATTTCGAAGTGGCCCGGCCCTCTAACAAGTTTAATGTATGTATCTCCTAAACCACTAAAAGTACAACAAACAAATTTGCCCAGCATGAATATTATAGGAGTTCCTACCGACAGTGTGAATGAAATCGGATGAAAACCGCGTTCACTTCTCATACGAGTATAACAGTACTGTTCAAAACTACTAAAAGCGCGATAAATCATTAACTAAATGCGTTAGAAACGTAAAAACTTGCCGCCGGGATGGTATGAGCAAACTTTATAGGAGTTGGTGTGAAAATTGGACAATGGGCGTGGCACCGTCCATTTTTTGGGGAAATTCCATATCTCGTGACCCGGTTGACCGATTTCGACACAAACCAAGAAGCAATTAATATAACGGGATTAAACTTTGCACGAAAAATGCCTTTATGTATGCTATCTTTTGACCAAAAATTGTTCAAATGCAAAAAAACTGTTCACGCCCCTCGATACCGAATATTTAGACCGCGGTATCTATAGTTGACTTTTGTTAGAAAGTATCGGTCAAGGTCTGAGATATATAATTGAAATTCAGGGATAGTACTTCTCTGACAATGGTATGCCTGTATGTCAAAAATATGTTAAAAACAGACCAATAATTCCCTTAGTCCCAAAATATCTAATATAAAGATAATCGAACTACCGGGTACTTTGTACCGCATATATCGCCCAATATGTGAGTTATCTCAATGGAAATGAGATAGCGTGTTTTACTTATGACAGTGTATCTTTGTGCCTAAAATAATTAAACTTGAGCGAAAACTTTACTTACTCCCCATATAACTGATATCAGGATTTTCGAAAATCCGACTGACTTATTTTTATGATTAGTTAAACATGTTAATAGTATGCGGTATTATGAAAAATAGCTCAAATCTGGTCGATACTACCCCAACTTCCATATACTACATATAATGGTTTTCGTTTTTCAAACTCACCGTATGTGACTGTCAGCATCCTATGTTGGAATAACTGGGTAAACTTAAAAAAATGTAAAAAATAAAGGAATTATCTGAGTTAAGATCTAGACTGTCCTGTATTTGAAAATTTCCTAATAAAATTTGTCTTGTAATAAAGAAGTCTATTAGATCGGTAATTTTTTCAGGCTCAGAAGGCCTTTAGGTTAATTTGTCAGAGGAAACTTGATTGCAGACAGTTGCTTCAATAGCTTTTAATAGTTCTTTGCCCTAAGTGGTTGTCAGGCGTAATCCCTACAATTTGTGTTTTATAGTATAACCATTATTTATGTAGGTCAAGTCGTGGGAATGGACGAAAACACTCCAGCTCTGAAAGTTTTCAACGCAGTCGCCACCGGGTTTATAATTCTTTTATGTTGATCGTATTTTATAATTTACCTTGGAGGACTGTAAACGGCAGTTATTGAAAGTTTAGTTTTGAATGCTGTTCCTTCTTACTCGCTACAATTGATTTTTTTTGAATTATTATAGCCGATCCATTTCGAGCGCAGATATGTGGTTAATCGCATTTTAGGTATGATTAAGCTAGGCACAAAGAACTAAAAATTATGAGAAGGTCCAGGTTCGGGAGCGATAATTTGAAAGTATTCAACAAGGAATCAACTACGTGAAACATTAACATTGTTTTGAAATGAATCTTTAAATACAGAAAATGTTAATGAATAGGGAACTGAGTATGTTAAACAAAATCAAAATCATTTGTTTTAACATTTCTTATTTCAAGCATGTGAAATTACAAAATTTGAAATGCTAACAGGAGTGGGTAAAGTCCTGAAAACATTTCGTATGTATGAGCAACGTTGTATAATTTCTGCATATAATTTGAAAATTCAACATATTGCAGGCATTTTATAAATAACAAGTAAGGAAGGGCTAATTTTGAGTATATGGGAGTTAAGGGAAGTATTGACATTTTTGACATACAGACATACCATTATAAGAGAAGGATTGCCCCTTAATTTCAGTTATATATGTATATCTCACATTGACCGACATGTTCAATCAAAAGTCAACTATAAATACCGGGGTCTAAATATTATTAATTGTACCTAGGGACTTAAACGATTTTTATTGGATTTAAACAATCTTGGCCATAAGGTGGAACAAAGAAAAGACATTGTTCGTGCAAAGTTTTATCCCGTTATATTAATTGCTTCTTTATTTGTGTACTGGAAACTAAACGAATCAAGTGGAATTTAAAATTGTGCTATATGGGAAGTAAGCGTGGTTGTTGTCAGTTTTCGTCCATTTTCACAATGATACACAAGAATGTAAAAAGAATGCCAGTACTATATTTTGTCGAAATCGATTGGTCAGGTCCTGAGATATGGGATTTCACCAAAAAGTGGGTGGTGCCACGCCCATCGTCCATATCGGCTCCCATAACGCTCTCTCTCACCATCTCAGTGGAAAGATTTAATGTCTCTGGCGTATTTAGTTATTCGGTTATCGCGCTTTTAGTAGTTTTTAACATTACCGTTATATGGAGAGAGAACGCGGTTATCCTCCGATGTCATCCATTTTTACACTGTCCGTAGAAATTCTTATAAGATTGGTCTTAGCAGAAGCGCTTTTTTTTTTAAATTTTTACAGCCAAACGGTTAATTAATATATAGTAAAAACTTGAAAACTGCGTTTTTTATTTGTTGCTGAGGACTTTGTTACCATCAATAAGGAAATCATTACGAAAGGTGGCATCAAATTTGTTCGACAAAGGGTATGTAATTTTTTGCTCTCTCACTTCCCTGACGGTGTGATAGATAGATATGCGGCAAAACACTTACTAGACTAAAGTAATTAAGAAGGAATTAAACATGGACATCTATTTCGAGTGATTGGTATTTGGGGACTGTATTTTGAACTCCTAACCGTATCGTGTTACCCAGCATTCATTATCGGATAATATTATGCCGAATACAGCACGTCCAGTACGCATTGAAGAAAATATAGCAACAGTAGCAGAGAGTGCAATACAGTCAAATTTTGTTCAGCGATGAGACTGGCTCAATCGGCCATCATTGTCATATCAACACTTCGGTGAGCAGATTTTACGTTTCCCCATTAAATTCGAATTTAATTTCTGTATTTTCTTTAGAAAAGTAGGGAATCTCGAAGTGGATCATTTCCTTTTGTCGCCTAACCAAGGTGGAGTATGGATGGAGCCTTTTGGCCCAAACGCATTAGGAAAATTCGTCCGGTCTCGGGTTGAGCTTAATGCCAGCCAAAATAAAAAGGGCAAAAAGGAGAGTGTTCATAAATGTTGCTACAAGGATGACAAACTTACCTTACCACTAACCATTAGGCAATTTGTGAGATATTGTATATTAATCAAATTTATTACATTTCTCGTTATTTCTTGTACCAATTAGTTTTGTTTCGTCTTTTGGGACTTAGTAATAAACCAACCTTCGCGTAGTACCAAGGAACATACGAATGTACAATTTTTATTTAGGTTACCTAAATTTTTTACTTCTAAACTATTTTCATTAGTTTAAGTGTTGCTGGTAACCGTAATGATTCAAATATATAAGGTTGTGTCCATAGTCGAAAAACCAATTAACCAATGAAAATATGTTTTTGGAGTGATAATTGAATTCGAATGAATCACCTGTTTATCTCACTCTCATGTTTGGTGTCCCCATTCTACATAGCATTATTGAAAATAAATAGATAATACAGTTTTAATTTTTAAAATATTATAAATATGATTGTTTATATTTATCGTTTTTTAGGAACTCGAATTATTTCCTACAATTCTCGCCATCATTTTATCTTCTTTAGCCTTCCGTTTAGCTTCCTTTTGTTTCTTCTTTTCCTCTCGTTCTTTTTGTTCCAGCATTTCTTTAAATCTTTCGTCCCGAGGGTCCACATTAAAACCAAAATGTCTTCGAACTTCCTCGATCAGTCTTTGTTTTTGCTGCTTCGCTGCCAAGGCGTCTGCTTCCTTTTTAGCAATTTTATTTTTCATCTCCAACTTCCACTGTTCTAATTTTTCTAACTTTGCAGCGATTTCCGCTTCTCTGCTCTTTATGGCCTGATTTTCCTTCATTCTTATATTTCTCTGATTTAATAGCATCTGTTCCAACACATGTTTTTCATTGCTTTCATGCAGTCCTTTAGCATTAAAACAAATGGAAGGATCGACTTCTGATGATAAGCCATACCGTCCAAATAATTTTTTCTTATACTTTTCCGTCAAATGAATCCAAGAACTGGGTTCATTGTATGGCATAATATCAAATAAGACATTTCTATGTTGGGTTAAAAGCATTGACCGGTTAACTTTTTTAGTCTTAGTATCATTTTCACATTGATATTCATTTGCATTCGTAGAAAGTGTGCGGTATAAATTTCTGGTGCACTGCCTCCAAGACCGAACATTAACAGATAACATTTCTCCTTTATGTAACAAAGTTATTGACATATTTTGCTTTTGTGTTGTTTAACTAATTCGAAGAATGTGTGATCAGTGAAATCAAAGATTCGATAGTCATTAATCGATAGTCATTCCTATCGATGAATTTAGTAATCACATACGCTAATTATCTAGTTAACCCTGATGTAAGCCATGGTTGCTAACTTTTTCCTTTATGAATTAGATTTAGCGATTCTGTAACCAGTCTCTAGTCTCTATTTAAGCCATTTTGTGGTAAAATCTCAATTTGTGACTAGTTACTATTCACTCAACAGTCTCTAGCTTTAGTCGCAAAATATTGCCTCAAATTTGAGACCTGGTAGTTAGCAAGTCACAAAACCAAAAAGAACTCTTGTCTGCCATTTTGAATATACTGAATAGAGATCACCATAAATATTAATCGATTGTCGTTTTTTTATATTTTGTAAGCAACTCAAACACGAAAAGGTTAAAAATAAA